GGCAAAGGGCACTGTTGAAACGCTACCTGGTCGTGGCAGAAAGAAGATGCTGACTTCGACTGCTGTGCGCTACCTGAAGCGTAGAGTGGAGAGAAGTCCCCGTGTGACTGCTGAGGAACTGAGAAAAGATTTGTCAGATGTGGGTACAGAAGTTTCAGCCCAGACAATAAGACGCACACTGCGTAATGAAGGCCTCCGTGCCAGAACTCCCAGGCGTACCCCCTTGCTGTCTCCAAAGAATAAGAAGAGTCGACTGCAGTATGCCAAAAGCCATGTGGACAAACCACAAAAGTTGTGGGATAGTGTTCTGTGGACTGATGAAACAAAATTAGAACTGTTTGGGCCCATGGATCAACGCTATGTTTGGAGGAGGAAGACAAGGCCTATGATGAAAAGAACACCTTGCCTACTGTGAAGCATGGTGGAGGGTCAATCATGCTTTGGGGCTGTTTTGCTTCTGCAGGTACAGGGAAGCTTCAGCGTGTGCAAGGTACCATGAATTCTCTTCAGTACCAGGAGATATTGGATGGAAACGTGATGCAGTCCGTCACACACCTGAGGCTTGGGAGACGTTGGACCTTTCAACAGGACAATGATCCCAAGCATACCTCCAAGTCCACTAGAGCATGGTTGCAGAGGAAAGGCTGGAACATTTTGGAGTGGCCATCGCAGTCACCAGACTTAAATCCGATTGAGAACCTCTGGTGGGACTTAAAGAAAGCAGTTGCAGTGCGCAAGCCTAAGAATGTGACTGAACTGGAGGCCTTTGCCCATGAAGAATGGGCGAAGATACCCGTAGATCGCTGCAAGACACTTGTGTCAAGCTATGCTTCACGTTTAAAAGCTGTTATAACTGTAAAAGGATGCTGTACTAAGTACTAAGATTGAATGTCACTTGGGGGTTGAATAAAACTGATAATGCTGTGAGCACAGAAAAGACATTTGTGGTTATTTCATTATAACTGTTATGTTATATTTGTCTGACCTACAAGTGCCTCTTTAATGTAAATGTAAGCAAGATGACTGAATGATCAAAAGCAATGTCAAACTGGCCAAAACACTCAATTTCAGTGGGGGTTGAATAATTTTGGACACAACTGTATTTGCCCTCTAAATATTTTAAAGTGTTATATTCTATGCTTAAACCTTTTTTTTATCTGGAGCTCTAGCAGGCCCAAACTAAACTGGTCCATTCTGAAACATCCTAAGAAAACCCGGACTGGCCATAGGGCACACCGGGCATTTGCCTGGAGGGTCGGAGCCACATGTCCTAAGCAGAGCGGCCTGTTGATGAGTGGGCTGTACAGCAGGAGGTAAGCGGCAACCGTGGTCCAGACAGTGCTAACACAGATCGTGGCCACTGCTTACCTCCCCTATGTGGCCATGCCTAAAGCAGAGTTGACAGAAGGTGTGGGAGAAAGTGCTCCAGTGACAAGCAGGAAGTGTCTCCCAGGCCTGCCGCTAAAGATACACCACACTGAAGGGACAACAGCGGCCTCTTTGCTTCACTGGCCAGCACACTGTGACAACTGCACAGGGGTTGACAGGACCATTACATGCTGGGAGGAAGGTGAGCACACTGAACCGTACACTGTCCCAGTGTTACAGCTAAACAGTCCCTCTCTGTAGCAGGGTGGATTGGGCTGTCTCTTTGCTGCATTGGGCTGTTTCTTTGCTGGACTGGGCTGTCTCTTTGCTGGAGTAGGCTGTCCCTTTGCTGCAGTGGGCTGTCTCTTTGCTGCATTGGGCTGTCTCTTTCCTAGACTGGACTGTCTCTTTGCTGGATTGGACTGTCTCCTTGCTGGACTGGGCTGTCTCTTTTCTGGATTGGGCTGTCTCTTTGCTGGACTGGGCTGTCTCTTTGCTGCATTGGTGTCTCTTTGCTGGACTGGGCTGCCACTTTGCTGGATTGGGATGTCTGTTTGCTATATGGGGATGTCTTTTAGCTAGATTGAGACGGGGTGTCTCTTTGGTGGACTGGGCTGTCTCTTTTCTGGATTGGGATTTCTCTTTGCTGGATGGAGATGTCTCTTTGCTGGACTGAGTTTTCTCTTTGCTGCATTGGACTGTCTCTTTGCTGGACTGGGCTGGCTCTTTGCTGGATTGGGATGTCTATTTGCTATATGGGGGTGTCTCTTAGCTAGATTGGGACGGGAATGTCTTTTTGGTGGACTAGGCTGTCTCTATTATGGATTGGGATTTCTCTTTGCTGGATGGAGATGTCTCTTTGCTGGACTGGGCTGTCTCTTTGCTGCATTAGACTGTCTCTTTGCTGGACTGGACTGCCTCTTTGCTGGATTGGGATGTCTGTTTGCTATATGGGGATGTCTCTTAGCTAGATTGGGATGGGGATGTCTCTTTGTTCGACTTGGCTGTCTCTTTTCTGGATTGGAATTTCTCTTTGCTGGATGGAGATGTCTCTTTGCTGGACTGGGCTGTCTCTTTGCTTAATGAGGATGTCTCTTTGCTGAATGGGGATGTCTCTTTGCTAGATTGGACTGTCTCGTTGCTATATGGGATGTCTCTTTGCTGGATGGGGATGAGTCTTTCCTGGACTGAGCTATCTCTTTGCTGGACTGGATTGGCTCTTTGCTAAATTGGGCTCTTTGCTGGACTGGGCTGTCTCTTTGCTGGACTGGGCTGTCTCTTTGTTATGTGGGGATGTATCTTTGCTAGATTGGGATGTGTCTTTGCTGGACTGGGCTGTCTCTTTGCTGGACTGGGTTGTCTCTTTGCTGGACTGGGCTGTTTCTTTGCTATATGGGGATGTCTCTTTGCTGGATTGGGATGTCTATTTGCTTAAATAGTATGTCTCTTTGCTGAATTGGGATGTCTTTTTGCTGGATTGGGCTATCTCTTTGTTATATGGGTATGGGTATTTGCTGGATTGGGCTGTCTCTTTGCTATATGGGGATGTCTCTTTGCTGGATTGGGATATCTCTTTGTTGGATTTGACCATCTCTTTGCTGAATATATAGGAGGCATTGTGATTAGAGAGAAAGGGGGAGGGCATGACTTCAAGTAGAACTGTGATAGAGGCTGTCGGGCGATTGCTGGGGTGGTTGGTGATGGAATATTCACGGAGTCAGTTCTCCACAGTGTAATGTAAAAGGGCACTGTGATATAAAGGGGACTGAACTGCAAAGGGGCACCGCAGTCAATACAGTGCCTCTTTACAGGGCAGTCCCCTTTATATCACAGTCAATATCCTGTCACCAACTGCCTCAGCAAAAGCCTAACCCCTTGTCAGGAATGGACTGGCCAGCAATGGTGGGACTCACCTGACTTATGGGCTGCAGTACCAGGGCTGGCCAGCGGGTGCTCCCAGCAATCAGAGACTCAACCTTGCAGCCAGCCAAACACCTGAAACTGCTTATGCTGGTGTATTTAAGGGATGGCCAGACCTGCAGACTCTGCCTTGGTGTGTGTTTCTCCTGGGCCCTGTATCCTGTTCCTGCAACCCTGTTCCTGTCTGATTCGTTGCTGACCCTGCTCTGATCCCTGGCTTTGTCTGACCATTCTTCTGCTCTGATCCCTGGCTTTGTCTGACCATTCTCCTGCTCTGATCCCTGGCTTCGTCTGACCATTCTCCTGCTCTGATCCCTGGCTTTGTCTGACCATTCTCCTGCTCTGATCCCTGGCTTGTCTGACCATTCTCCTGCTTTACCCCATACGTTCTGACCTCCTGTTTATGATCCGGCCTGCCTGACGACGCTTGCATTGTATGTTTTGTTATTTGTGGGTGGTTTGGTTTGGTTCATTTGCACTGTGTTATGTTTTAGTATTGCACTGTGTTTATGTTTGTATTGTTAGTCTTTAATAAATTATATTGTTTATAACTTATCTGAAGTCTGCGTTTCCCTGCGTCAGTCACACACCTCTGGTCATACCCGGGAGCCCTGACATTACACCAAGGCCAATCCTGACCAGAAGTGGCTGCACAGGGAAGCCATCTTGGTTTGTTGATGGGAAGGATGGATCTTGATGAGGTTGTGTATTTATATCTGCTAGTGTTTGATGACAGAGAGTATGCTTATGAAACTCTGAAGGAGTATCCCCGGGATGAACTGCTAGAATGTATATGGCTCGCTCATGTTCTAGTAGATCAGGGCACAGAATTCTCTGAGGTGCAGCCATTGATTCAGGTTTGTGCGGAGTTGGTTTCATCTGGTACCCCCCCGAATGCAGGGATGAATTTTTGCCGCCATTTAGTGCCGACCAGGTAGAGTCCCTGGTATGGTTATTAGAGGATGATGTGGATTACTTTCTGGAGCGTTATTCTGCATGTTCACCACAGATACTAAGAGATTGTATAAACGCAGTGCAGTCATTGACCAGACAGGCTTTGTGTAAGCTGAGCTTTGTTCAACCCATACTGCAGACATGGACAGATTTGTTGCACCCAGCCTCAGTCAGCTTGCAAAAACCCAGTCCTGCTTCTAATCTATTTCCTCAAAGCTCTATTCCTGCATTCCCAACAGCTCCTCCTGCCCTGCTATCTACCGCATGTCAGTACCCTGTTCCCACTCGCTGCACCTATCCTGCCTTTAACCCTGTAAAGAAGCCCTCTGTAGCAACTGTTCCTTCCCCTGTTCCATCCTCCAGCTCTTCTCTGTCTCCAGCTGCTCCACTCGTTTGCAGACCTGCGTTTACTTGCAGTGCTCCAGTAGTTAAAACCAGAAAAAAGCGAAAATTCTTTCCAACCAGTACCATCCTGTCAGTATCCAAACCGGTCAGCCTGCCGTCTGAGAACCGGCCTTCCGTGGTTCAGCCTGGTGCCTCGGCACCCGCACTTCAGCCTGATGCCTGTACCCAGCCTGATGCCTGTACCCAGCCTGATGCCTGTACCCAGCCTGATGCCTCTATTCAGCCTGATGCCTCTACTCAGCCTGATGCCTCTACTCAGCCTGATGCCTCTACCCAGCATGATGTTTCTATCCAGCCTGATGATCCTATTAGGCCAGTTGACCCGATGCCCGCTGTCGAGCCAGACGATCCAATGCCTGGTGACCCGGTGCCCACTGCCTTGCCAGATGACGCGGTGCCCGCTGGCAAGCCAAATGACCTGATGCCTGGTGACCCAGTGCCCGCTGTCATACCTGGTGACCCGATGCCCGCTGTCGAGCCAGACAATCCGGTACCTGATGACCCGTGCCCGCTGTCGTGCCAATTGACTCAGAGCCCACTGTCGTGCCTGGTGACTTGGTGCCCACTGCCTTGCCAGATGACGCGGTGCCCGCTGTCGAGACAAATGACCTGATGCCTGGTGACCCGATGCCCGCTGTCCAGCCAGACGATCCATTGTCTGACCCAGTGCCAGCGGTCATGCCAGTTGACTCGGAGCCCACTGTCGTGACTGGTGACTCGGTGCCTGTCGCTCCGCCTGGGGGTCCGGCGCCCGCCGCTCTGCCTGGGGGCCCGAGACCTGTTGCTCCGCCTGGGGGTCCGGCGCCCGCCGCTCCGCCTGGGGGCCCGAGACCTTTCGCTTCGCCTGGGGGTCCGGCGCCCGCCGCTCCGCCTGGGGGCCCGAGACCTGTCGCTCCGCCTGGGGGTCCGGGCCCGCCGCTCCGCCTGGGGGCCCGAGACCTGTTGCTGCGCCTGGGGGTCCGGCGCCCGCCGCTCCGCCTGGGGGCCCGAGACCTGTCGCTCCGCCTGGGGGTCCGGTGCCCGCCGCTCCGCCTGGGGGCCCGAGACCTGTCGCTCCGCCTGGGGGTCCGGCGCCCGCCGCTCCGCCTGGGGGCCCGAGGCCTGTCGCTCCACCTGGGGGCCCGGCGCCCGCCGCTCCACCTGGGGGCCCGATTCCTGTCTCCCCGCCTGGTTTGGTTTGGTTCGTTTGCACTGTGTTATGTTTTAGTATTGCACTGTGTTTATGTTTGTATTGTTAGTCTTTAATAAATTATATTGTTTATAACTTATCTGAAGCCTGCGTTTCCCTGCGTCAGTCACATACCTCTGGTCATACCCTGGAGCCCTGACACCCCTATTTCCCTCCTCCCCGATCCCTGGAGAAATTGGCTGCTCAGTCTAAAGTGCCTAGGCCTATTTTTTGTCCTTGTCAATGCAGCCTTCCAGGATCTATTTATGGTGGGTTTTGGGTAGATGTTCTAACCAGCCAATGATTAGTCTCCCTGAAGTTTACTGATAAGCTCACCCATCTATTTATACTTCATTGTACCTATCTGATGCCAATTCAGTTCATGAGATATAAATCATCTTTTAATCCGTTATGTCCTAAATGTCAAGTGGGCCCTGGCTCCTTTTTCCACCTGCTCTAGTCCTGCCCACATATACAGGCTTACGTGAAGCAAACACCCTTTTTTATCCTCCTGAGTCTTTAGAATTAAACATTATTTGCACTTTTTTACATGAGGTATTGTTTACTGCCAAGAAGCTGATGTAATCCAAGCTGGAGTCCATCTTACAGCAATGGACAGCAGAGAATAAATAATAAAATGCTCTGGTTCAGGAAACTGATCTATGAGTTCTAAGAGGTTGCCCAAACTTTTTTTTTAAATGTTGGGTATGTGTCGAGCAGAATCTTTTACTTGCTGTCTATTAGATGCAGGTACTACTTGAATTTAAACAGAGGCTCTTATGAGCTTAGGTCCAATGTACACAGGCTGCAGTGCCATATACTCATTTGTGATCTAATACATCTAAGAGGTACTATAAGTTCCAAATATTTCTATATGCAAGACAACAAACAACTCTTTTGGTTTTGGTTTTCATAGTTTCTCAACCAATTACACTCTAATAAATGGGCTTTGCTTTATTTTTTTACATCCTGCGAACAGTCTGTGATTACATCTCTCATTTCATTTGTCCTCAGCAGAATGATAACTTGCCAATTGTTTAATACATTCTTTCTCCTTCTGCTATATTGCAGAAACCTTGTCTATCTATTTCTTTGACCAAATATGTCCAACATAGGTGATTGTCTTTGTCGGCTTTGATGTTGTTATTCTATGCTCATTTTAACCACTTGCCTACCAGGCACTTATACCCCCTTCCTTACCAGGCCAATTTTCAGCTTTCAGCGCTGCCGCACTTTGATTGACAATTGCGCGGTCATGCAACATTGTACCCATATGAAATTTTGATCATTTTTTTCTCACAAATAGAGCTTTCTTTTGGTGGTATTTAATCGCCACTGGGCGCTTTACTTTTTGCGCTATAAATTAAAAAAAGTGCAAAAAATTTGAAAAAAAAAAAAAGTTTATTTGTATCTTTTATAAAATTTTTCAAACAGGTATTTTTTCTCCTTCACTGATTTGCGTTGATGAGGCGGCACTGATGGGCACTGATAGGCGGCACTGATGGGCACTGATAGGCAGCACTAAAGGGCACTGATAGGCAGTACTAATGAGGTGGCACGGATAGGGCGCACTGATAGACAGCACTAATTAGGGGTCACGGATAGGCGGCACTGATATGCAGCACTGATAGGCGGCACTGATAGGTGACACTGATGATGGGTACTGATAGACGGCACTGACTGGCATCACTTCTGGGCACTGACTGGCAGCACTGACTGGCACAACCCCTGGGCACTGACTGGTGGCACTGACTGGCAGCACTGCTGGGCTGCACTGGTGGGTGGCACTGGTGGGCAGCACTGGTGGGTGGGCACAGGTGGGTGGCACTGGTGGGCACAGGTGGGTGGCACTGGTGGGCACAGGTGGGTGGGCACAGGTGGGTGGCACTGCTGGGCACATGTAGGTGGCACTTCTGGGCACAGGTAGGTGGCACTGCAGAGTGGCACAGGTGGGTGCACTGCTGGGCACAGGTGGGGGCACTGCTGGGCACAGGTGGGGGCACTGCTGGGAACGGGTGGGCGGGGCTAGTGGGCGCACTGCTGGGCGGAACTTGCGGGTGTCACTGCTGGGCACCGATCATCAGGGCACTGATCATCAGTGCCCTGATGATCGGTGCCGATCCCCGCTCTGACAACTGCCGGTTCTCGGCAGTACTTTCCTCACGATCTGACAGCGTGAGGAAAGTGCAGCCGAGAACCGGCACTTGCATTTCCCTGTGATCAGCGTGTCATTGATCACGTGGTAAAAGGCCGGTGGGATCGGCCTTTCACCACATCACGTGATCAGCTGTGTCCGTAGGACACAGCGATCACGGAGATCGCCGGGTGCGCGCCCCCTGGGGCGCGCAGGAGAGCGCGTTCTGGGAGGACGTCATATGACGTCCACTCAGAACTGGCCGGCCACGGTGAAGCCGTCATTCGGCTATGCGCGGTCGGCAAGAGGTTAATACTTATAAAAAACTCTTACACCATGTTCTATGATGTAGAATGGGGTCTGACATACATTTCATGCTCAGATATTTAGGACAAAAGGTCTGTCCATTTATGACCAGTCTAAGAATCTGCTGCCTTACAAATCTTGGTGCAAATGTACAAATAATGAAGCAGTACATAAGGTCCATTGAAGAATGTGTCTACCTGAGAATCTGTTATGATGTAGAAATTCCATTTGCAAACGCTGTCCAGCCATCTTTGCTAGAAGGTATGGCGTGCTGAAGACTGCATCTCCAGTTGTGCACATGACATCAGCTCCACTAAAAACTAAGATCATTGTTTCCAGTACATCAGCTTTCGTGACTGTGGCACATAAAGCCTACGTTTCAAAACAGAAAAGAAAAAAGTGAGGAAAAGAATGAATCTTCTGTGCCCAAATAAAGGGCACAGATGGAGAACTCATCTGAAATGTTTATTAGTGTAGCTTACATTCAGTCCAAAGTCCTAAAGTGACAATGCCTATTGGGTAAATTATACACTTTGCAAGGATTTCAGAAAACTTTATTGCAGATTCTCACCTGACTCTCTTCGGAAGATAATGTTAATTGACTTGCCAGTTCTATTATTAGGTTAGATGTGAGGTATGCCTTCATTATACCCATCTAATCTATCTCAATGTTATAATAAGATAACTGACAGTCTCTGCATCCTTTTACATATATCAAAACATTTGAAGATAAGTAACCAAATATGGAACCACTGCAGGGGTGCCAACAGGAGGGACTGACAAACTTAGCCTAGGAGACAAACAGAACCAACCAGCTCTTTCATGGGAAAGACAGATTTCCGTGGGCTAAAGAAAATGTTCCATTAACAGTGTGCTTTGGTATTGTAGTGATTGGTGGGCAACGGGAAAGGAAGGTATCATCATTGCACTCCCCCCAACTCTGATGAAATGTTTATTAGTGTAGTTTACATTCAGTCCAAAGTCCTAAAGTGACAATGCCTATAGAGTAAATTATACACTTTGCAAGGATTTCGGAAAATGTTATTGCAGATTCTTACCTGACTCTCTTCTGAAGATAATGTGACTTGCCAGTTCTTTTATCAGGTTAGGTGTGAGGTATGCCTTCATTATACTCATCTAATCTATCTCAATATTATAGGTATGTGAGAGGTATGCCTTCATTATACCCATCTAATCTTATCTCAATGGAAAAAGGAAGATATCATCATTGCACTCCTCCCAACTCCAAAATTAAAAATTAACCAAACATGTTTGTTTATTTTTTTTGTTTTTAAGTTTCACTACAGCCTACCCCTGGTTGCCATTCTTGCCTAGGAATCTCCTCTGCCCTGAAGCCTCATACAGCAGCCAGAAGAAGGTGAATCTGGCAGTGGCAGTTGCCTGAAAAGGAAGAAAGAACCAGCTCCCGATGATGTAAAAAACAAAGATAGTGGTATGATACCCAGGGTGTGGCAAAGGCACAATTCTGGATTCACTGGACAGTTTAGTCTGGCAGTTGTGCACAACACCAGTGAAATAATTGAGAGGAGATAAAAAAAAAAAACACATGCAGGAAGGTGATGTTCCTCTTTAAAGAATATGGTTCATAGTTACACAATCTCAAAACCTCACATGGCATCTCAGAGACGCAAAGAAAGATGTTGCTAGTGCTGGAAGACTTCTGGCTGCCAGACACTGTGATCAGAGTGGATAGGGAACATATAGCGATATGGTACCCAGAATGTGTCACTGACTGCTAGTCACACTCTGATAGCTGAATGGTGAAGTATCTTCACTCAGGGTCTACAGACCAACCTATCTAATTAGTACTGGCCCAGGGGCAAACTCTTGCCTATCAGAAAGGCAAGAATTTAGATTTTTGGAGCTATACTATACATAAAATATGTAAAATATGCCCAAAAGCTGCAATTGTTCTGACATTTGAATTTTTGTCAGTTAAAGAAAATCATAATTGGATGTAGGTTAAAAGAGTAAGGTAATTTAAAGCATATGTAAACTCAAAAACATATTATTTCACGGCTTATGAACACTTTGATGTGGTGGCTGCATTTGTTTTTTTAGACTTTTTCTTATATTTTCAATTGGTAATCCTGCGAATAACACATTTCCTATCTCTGTGTGGCTACAATCACTTCTCTACTATATCTGTACAGAGAGCAATATGTGGAGAGCAATGGTTGCCACTAAGACTGGACATTAAACACAACTTTCTCTCTTCATTTCTATTACATGTATATGAGGGAATTTGTAGTTTACATAATAAAGATAAGAATGTTTGATGCTTCCAGTTCAAATCCCAAGAAATCATAAAGACACTACATTTCTGGCAAGATCCAGAG